ATTCAGCGTTTTGGGTCAGGTCGGACGTCGCACAGGTGTCAAGTTGCCCGAACGACGGGACCTCTAGGTCGGCGCCTTTTGAACTCACAACGTCCAGCGGCGGCGTTGACCAACCGCGCCACAGTGAGAAACCGCGACACCGCTGCAAAATTCATCACATCCGACGCTGTCGGACTGTGACAGGTCACCGAGGCTCCGTTTCTGCCACACCGAAAAAGAAAAGCCTGGAGCATCGACGTGAACGTGCACCCGATTCATTCGGGTACCACGAGTACCACGTGAATTGCGGCCAGGCTACGCCAGGCTCCTATCCACCACATAGAGTCTGTGGTTGAAGCGATCTGGACAGGTCAAGAACGGAATGCTTGAAACAATCCTCTGGTGAGAAAGTACTGCGGTTTCATCCCAGTTTCTTGAAAATATATCACTCCTATGAACACATGTATACCAAACAAAGACGCGACTCTATATACATATATATATATATATATACACCTGAGAAGGGGGGGCGAAAGCCAGCAGCCGCCGGACGAGTGTCTCTTTTTCTGGCGGGCGTTGCGGCGCAAGACACATGGTCCGCAGCTTGCGAGTCAGCGGTGCCGTGAATGCGGGGGGGCGTATGTAATGGTGATTGAGGGAGCAGAGAAGCAAGCCGGGCGGCTTTGGGATAAGTTTGCTATGAAAGAGGTAGTGAAAGAGAAATGCGATACGTTGTGTGTTGGTGTAGGTCATCATCACTCACAAGGCAATGGCATGTGTTTGTCACACGCAGGAAGGCATGCATCTTATGGAAGTTGGAAGGCGGCATCAGCGTTGGCGAAGGTGGATACCACACGCGCGCGACCTTCTGCATAGTGAGCGTCGCCGCGCGCGCGCGAGCACGGCATGCGTTTGAAAAGAAGCAATTATGTGTTTGTTGCATTTGGAGTGTTTGAAGTTTGCAATGCATACTGCGGCACGTCGAAAAGCGGCCTTCGTTGATTTGGAAGAGTGAACGGGCACGTCTTAGCTGGGACACGGACGTTTGATCCCGCGGCGCAGAAGGGGAGGTCCAGCAGGACTGGACTTGAGTGAGTCATGTTCTGGCTCAATCCAAAGCACAGTCTTTTTCCTTTGAAGGGGCCTTTATCCAAACATCTTCTGGATCCTCTCTCTTTCTTATCAACTCTGCGCCTTTCTCGCTTAGAGGCCTTGACTTTGGCAACTGCGTGTGTAGATCTTTGGGCCGTGGACCCAGGCTGACTGGATTCGGCCAGGGCTGCCAGCGAAAAAGCGACGTCTACCTGCCTATCTATCTATCTATCTATATCTATATCTATATCTATCTATCTATCTCTCTCTCTATTTCTGACTCTATCTATCTATCTATCTCTCTATCTATCTATCTGCACCGGCAAGCCGGAAGAACGTTTGGTGCGTGTGGACGCCGCGAGAAGCATCCACTCGACCGGACATGGTACAAGTATAGTTTTTGCTATGTAGTCAACCTCGCAGGCATCCCTGCCGAAACCCAATCCAAATTCATGCACTTGAACTCATGTCACTTTCGGTTCTCTATGGATTTCGCGAGTTGCGGGTTGTCCGCTCTGTACGTGGGTCCCTGTCTCCACTCGAGTGCTCAATGCCCATTGTCCAAATAGCTTCCAAAGCTCTTCATGATGCTAATGCACTACTCGGCGTCCATTGCATCACTTGCATCACCAGACCCCATTTTCACTGCTTTTCTGACCCTCGCTTTGGAGCGCTCTCCCCCATCAAGATCCGGGTTCACTCTCTCAAAACGTCCCTCTCAACGACCACCCCCACACACACCCTTAACTCACTTCGTTCGTTCTAAAAGCTCAAGCCTAGCCTGTCGGCTGGCTTTCGTATTGATATTATTGATATCAATAATCCAAGACTATATATCTACTATATAAAACAAAGACATACAAAGACTATACCAGCAGTCACTGGAAGTACTTTGTTCGCCCCAGGTACCACTGCGGATGGACCACGCAGTTCTCAGTTCAATGCGATCAGAAAGGCTATGCTGAACACCCCAAGGAGCTGCTTTTGAGCTGCCGCGACGAACTCACCAAACCTAAAAGTTGCTAGGCTTAGGGTAAGCTCCGCCTCACTATACGTGTAGTCAGTGCAGGTCCCCCAAGAGGCAGTGCCGGCAGGGGTGGGGTTCTGAGGGTTGTACTCGCACGCACAGTATGCACGCTCATTATGGCGGACGTCAGCCCAAACACCTTGGTTGTTGAGAACAAGAATCGAGAACAACAGAACATCACATTACTCCATAACATTCACCAAAAGGAAAGAATGCACAGTATCAGCAAAACCTCCTCTGAAACAAATACCAAAGCGGCCGGCATAATGGTCCCCGTCTTGGGTCCTGTAGTCTTGCACGATAATGGCGTGATCTTCGCAGCGATTGTGTTCATCACACTCGCCACTTGGCTCCCACGGACCCCAATTCCTGTAGTCGCTCCCGCACCCATTGACCCACTTCCATTCCCTTGACGATTGGTGGAGACCAATCCAAGTATCGTAAGCTGCCAACTCAAAGTTGTTTTCTCTGGAGCGGACGCAGGGAACGGTCGCTTGAAACTGTGCACATCGACAAGCACAGTCGTAAATGTGCGCTGTAGAGAGAAACCGGGCATAGCAAAGGCCGGTGATGTTGCTGTAAACCCAAGCGCTTCCGGGACAGGTGCACCGGGAGCACCTCAAAGGGCTTCAGGGGAGAGAATGCCAGCATCGTGCAACCCCATCCACCCGGGAATTCGATGCGGGTGAGGGAACTAGCATGAAATAGCTGCTAGCTCTCATCCCGACCAAGAGAGGTTGAACAGCCTTATAGCCCATCCCATATGTACCACTACAGGGTCCTATAAGGTCTCTCAACCTCTCATCCCGAGTCCTCTACCGCACTACAGGCATTGTCACGACAACAAACTTGTTTTACTCCCGAAATCCGGTGTTTCTGGTTTGAGCGAGGAACACCCACTAGATGATTGCATGAGATGTCATGGCAAACAGAACATATATATGCATATGACTATAGTATATATATATATAGTATGTTGGTTATATTGTGACTTGTGAGCATCAACACATACTATGAATTTGAACACACGGAGAATTTGGCCCGCCGGGCACTGCTGGCATGCCCGCTCAAGACATACATTGAAGTCTCCTTCCAAACACCAGGACGCGCAAGTTGTGTCGTTGACCTCGTTGGTGCTGTTCACTTGGAATGCGAGCAAAGCAAGTAGCGATGTCACCACTAAGGCACGACTCATGATGGGTAGTTCAACGGCCGCAGGATACGACTTCGGTATCGCTCAGGCCAAGAAATGACACATCAATGTTTTGCTGGGCGAACATAGTCTAACCGTAGCCAAGTGATTTTCCCACACACTGTTTGACCAGTCACCTCAACTGTTTCAACTCTGTTATTTTGTCGCAATTTCTCATTGGATCATTGGATGCTAATCGATCAATGGCAGGACATCCACATGAACCAAGAAAGCCAGATGCTGCGTCACAAAGGTGTGATTCACGGTGTGATTTTTGTGCAAAGATGCCAATTCTGGAAGGAAGGCACATTCTGGGAGCTCGGCGGCGTAAAAACGGCACTGGGAGCTCATCTGCGAGACGTGCGTATTTCCTGCGGGGAATGATGGGGGAAGACCTTGACGGGATGTTCTTGACATGACACAGCGGTGGGGAAAATGGGTCTTCTGGGTAGTGAATGTGCATGGAGATTCGGGAGAATATATTTGTGAGATTCCCTGAGCATGGCCTCTGAAGCACAAGTTTCTACAAGTTATTCATACGCCTGACAGTGCAAACCAGCATCATGAACAAACTTCGGTGCCGGAGCCGACCCCCGAAAGGAAGCCAACGGTGTCACTTAAAAAGTGGATGCAAAAAACAGAAGTCAAGTCCTGCGGATCTTCTGGTTCCACCCAAATATCTCAGCAAGCATGTGGAAGGCAGGCTGATCCCCCTTTTTGAAGCAGGATCAGCTGTCGATGGCTCCTGCTTTTCAAAGCACCCCCAAGTTGGATCCGAAGCTGGGTGTGACTTGGACCCGTCATCGATGACGGATGCGGGAACTTCCCCCGCAAAACCACCATGAAACGACCACATCGACCGACTGGGCATCCCACGTCCATGGAAAACCGACATCATTCCATTCCATTCATAGCCCGCATTTGTGCGGGACCACGACTCAAGGGTCTCACGAGTGCCACTACCCCACAGGGTCGAATCGGGCCATGGGTCCCTAAGAATCGAGCCAAGGCCTTCCCCAGAGCCACACGTGCCACTCATAGGACCATCATGGGACCCGATGTCAGCTCGACCGTTCACCTGCCGTCCAGTGCCCCCCCGCGCCTCCGAGCGTTCGAGAAGCGGATGGTCGGGGGACAAGTCGAGCGTGGACGGGCCTCAGGTGCACGCACAGCTGTCTGGCCCGAAATCTCCCGCTCTGTGGTGTTCATGGCCCGAACTCTGGACCAACCCCTATCGGCATAGGCTTCCTGGCCCACCATGAATTCAATAATATTGGGGGTTCGGCGCTGCGGAGAGCCGTTGGTGCTGCTTTGGGCCAGCCCGCGGCGCCCTCGGCTCCGCGCGTTTCGAGTCGGCTCCGCCCACCGCCTCCGCCCGGATCGCTAAGCAGACGGCGGCGCCGGCGACCGCGGGTTCTGGCGTTTTCTTCGGCGCTCTCGGCTGTTTCTCGGGAGAGAGGCTCCAATGGTCGGTCTGCCGCCTGGAGTGGGGATGGGGCTCGGATGAGGTGAATTCGCTGGTGGTGCCCAAAACGCACCCGAGTTCGGGCAATCAATCAAGAGATTGATCAGTGCTGTTGTTCTTTTAGGTTTCGATTGGTTTCGATTTGTGTGCGGTTTCAATTGAAATGCAAGCATGGCCAGTGGCGATTGTTTGACCTGCCACTGTCACTCCAATGCACAGACATCACCGCCACTCCAGTGCCTCCACTAATAAGCGAACTGTTCGGCACTGACTTTCACGGGACCCTCGTGGATCTTATCCTCCAACTCCTGGGAGTTGTTGCCATCTTTGTCATGCAAAACATGTGGGAGTTAAGGGCATCAGACACGCAGAGCTGGATCCAGTTGAAGCGAATAATTAGAAGCACCAGAAAGGGGAGGGTTCAACCCATCGTAGGCGCCAAGTATGGTGATACAGCATCAGACATACAGCTGGATCCAGTAGAAGCAGCTGGCCAGTGGGGGAGGCCCAAGGCCCCAGCCCGAGGCGCGTTTCAGAACCCATCGGGACGACATCATCGAGCGGTCTCGCAAAAAGAGACCGGATGGATGGATCATCGAATTTGACCCGGCTTTTGGGAAACACCATCTTGGGGCAAGGAAGGAAGACTATATATATATATATCAGATATATATGGTATTCAATCGGCGTGTTACTGTGATTCTGCTGCAGCGGGTGGGTTGAGCCAGGAAAACATGGAAAACACACTGAAGGACCCTGAAACCACTGAAGGAGTCTGCTAGGCAAAGAAGGTGTCTTTGACATGAGACGGGTCCTATGTTGCGAATATACAACTGTGCAGCCGGTGTTTGCCATTTTCAAACACCCTGACAACCCATTCAAAACGGGTGCAATGACTGCATGATGAATGTGAATGGGTCTGTCACAATGACAAACCAAAAATGAGGTGGTTCACCAGAAAGCATCATGAATTATTTTTCCGTGTGTTGATGAAATGCGACCCATGCGACCCGTTTCTGAACACGTGTTTTATCGAAAGATCCAGCAGCATGACCAGCCAACCTCCAGCTGCTGAGGGCGGAACCGCCGATCCCTTCAGACCTCCCTCTGATTTGAACGAACACTCTCAGCACTCTCAGCTAGTAGACTCCACCGGCGCCTCTGTTTGCAGCTTGGAACCCCCAAGTAACTAGTCTATTATATAGTCAAATGGTGTCGGATGTTATTCATTTCTTGGACTGATTGGGACGCCTAATGGCGAACGACTGCTGCGTGATCGCTCTCGACGTCTGCGAAAAGGAAAAAGGATTGGCCTTCCCATCCCCGCTCTCCACTCCCTCCCTTCCGGTCCTGCTGCAACCTGAGCGCCAACATCTCGGGTGAGTCCGGGTGTCGCAGCTGCACCAGCAACAGACCGAAGGGAACGGCCAGCGCCAGGCGTGCCAAAGCCACGTGGTACCGAAATCCCACCGCCGCCACAGCCAAGCCTGGGACAGGACTGACACTGACACTGCTGCGGTGACCCTTTGACCTGCACCCATTGAGGCTCCAAGACCAGTAAACTATATGGGTTGGAAAGGCTGGATTTAGGTGGGTCTTCAGCACTTGGATGAACTCCAACATGTTGATCGTCTCGTCTCGCATTTCTTGGCGTCTACGTTGCCCAAGTGTCGGACTGCCCAATTCAGGCGTCTCCTGTCGAGGCAGTTGCCGACGGAGAGTAGTGCCGGCGAGGCACAGGCGAAGCAGGCGGTCTGCAGGACATTCAACTGCGGCTGCACGAAGGGCCGAGTGAGGCCAATGACCAGCGCCATGCCCAGGGTGATGGCCACGGAAAGCCACAGATTGTTCACAGCGACCACCTTAGGAGATGTGGAAAAGACTTCAGCATCCCAGTGCAAATCCCAGCAATATGTCTATTGGCTGTTTCGGTCAGGGAACCAGTCTCCTGGGTATCAATTGTGTTCGATACATCTGAATCTGTACTTTCGTTGATCTTCGAATGCAATTGATATGGAACAGGATGCAAACATCTCATCGTTTGGATGTTCCAAAATGGATCTCGCAGGAAACTTTGTGGGATTGAATCATTGGGCTTCAGCAAACTTGAGACTGCTTGAGACTGGCAACATCTTGACACCACATGAGTTACAATGTGACTCTCGAGCATGGAAGTGAAACAACAGATTGTTTAAAGGACAATCAGATTCGCTGTGGCCTTGCCATCCAGTTTTTTTCCAGCGAGATGTAGTTCAAAGCTCACGCCGAAAACAGGCTCCTTCTTCCACACCAGTCCACCTTTTCTCCAACTGTCACCATGGCAGGAGCCTTTTCACCATGACATGGTCACTCCGACTCCCTCAGTTTCCCAGGAAAGTAAAGAATCAGCGCCCTCAAACAGATAGGGCCTAGGGTTTTGAGGCCCGGACCCCTGCGAAGGTGTCGGGTCTGACCCCTGCCATGGACAGCCCGTACGGATTCTTAGGGCAGGAAAATACAGGTTAGCCTTTTTCCACTTCCATGGGGTTTCCCCAATCCCCCAAAAACTTCTCCAGAGAGAACGGGGATATCTCTCTTTCCTCTCCAAGAGGCAGAGACCAAGGCAGCTGCTGTCACCTTGACGCAAACCTCCATCCAAACATTTTCGCACTTCGCCTCAGGTCCAGTGCTGACAGGTGAGAGCTACAGATCTGGTTCACTGCTTGTCTTAGACATCGAAGTCAATGGATTCAATGGTTTTCTCTGATGACATGGAATGTGTATGAATCTGTCATGGGTGGCTCGCCATAAGGCCACTGGTCTGGCGAATGGTTTTCTCTGCATGGAGTTTTTGCTTCTTTTCTTTGCATGTGTCATGACCCGCAGTCACGTAAGACGCGATGCCGAACGTGGAGGAAGGAGTACAGGTGCCCCGTCGTCACATCCACAGCCCCTGGATGGGACTGAAAACCACCCAACTTCATGTGACTCCTGGATGAAAGTTGTTTTTGTTGGGCGGTACAAATGTCCCAGACTCGCCACCCGGGATGCCTGTGTCGGCCATGGCCTTCCGGCGAAGCAACTGGCATGGTCTTCCCCGAAGTAACTGGGTGAACACCATGATTACTCCCTATAGGACTCCCTTGTGATATATCTTTAGACTAAACATCCTGCTCCTTTTGAAACATCAATGAACAAAAACACAACCTTTACAACAACTATTTTGCCAGCGCACCAACTGCAGCACTGGTATTGCAAAGAAGTGGCATACTTCAAAAAGAGCTGCTTCGCACCCAGCATCACTCCTTAAGTGAAAGCTTCTGACAAGTGACCAAAACCCCCATGTGCAGGATCAAAAACCACATGCAACACACTATATGATCAATTGCTGCGAGGGAACTTGCATCCAAACATGAATTCACTATGTTCGGATGATGTTCGGAACTAAACACTATAGTCACTAGCTACTACCCCCCCTTCTCGTCGTGTGAGGTGAACCGTGGTCATGACCTCCATCGAACATCGAGAGAACCACTTCCGTCTCCACCTGCCTCATCGATCAATCGATCAAATCGATCCTGTGGCCCTACTTGCAAGTATCCTGGGGTGGGTGATTGACCCGGGGTGGTTATATATCCCTAAATCTCCAGTCGTACCTCCTCCAGGTATGACTGGACCCTCTAAACCCACCCCAAACACCTTCTTGGAAGGTACTTGGATCCCTAGGGCCTATAGGGTGTATATATATATAATATATATATATAATATATACATATAATATGTATATACTAGGTTCAGATGACTCAGGACCTGGTGGATACTAGCCGGACCAAGATTTCAGCAGGATGACATAGGAGTTGTATAATTAAAAAACAAACAAATGAGACAGGAGTATGGTCAGGTCGAATTTGAGCAGTAGACCAGGTGTGCACACTGGATGACATAGGAATATCAATCAAAACATGCACATAAGTCCTGAGACACGTGTCAGACACGTTCAGTTCACAATGGTTTACTGTTTTTTTCTTTTTTAGTTGTTGCTTCATGCTGGTTGCTGTAGAGTCATGCAAAGATGACTTGGGAGTGCAACAGCGCAAACACCACTGACTCTGATGACTCAGGAAAGCACTGCACAAAAAAGACAATAGCAGAGCTTCAAACAAGAAATACTTTCAGCTGAATCTCTTTTCAGCTGTGTTCTTTGTTTGAATCCACTACATCCCAGTAGGATCTTTTCTCTGATCTGATTTGGGCGCATCAGGTCAAGAGGACCAGGAGCGGTAGATATTCTGCACAGTATTTCTATATATCTATATCGGCTTCTTCGGCTTTGTGGTCCTGCCAAAAAGGAGAGTGTGTAGTCATAAAGGATGGTCATAGGGAGACTGATCCAGTCTACAACGATCCCCTCTTCCGACACCAAGAACGACTTTACCCATTGGCACATTGGGCAAAGGGGAGACGAAAAAACAGCCAAAAACCTCTGGGTTTCAACCCCCTTATGCCACCAAAACCTGTACGGGAGAATTCCGCTATACCAGGAGCCTCCAGGTGTCCTGGCGCTTCACTACCCCACACTACCGGCCGTTCGGCTTCCAGACAGGGCACCCCGACTGGAGGGTCCTGGTATATAATAACATCAATAATTTCTACCAGCACCTCAGGGGTAGGTTTCGTGCTTGGACCCCTCTGGCACCCGATGTCCCACCTTCTCAGAAGGTAAGACTGCAGCCCTTCAAAATCAGCCCTTCGACTTGTCCAAGCCACGATCTTCCTCCTGCTCCAGAATGCTTCGCTCCATCAGCATCTGCGCCATGACATGACACTGCAATGCCTCCAGCTCCTCCGCGTCAGATCCGAAGACCAAGCTTTCGACCTGGCAAACTGACTGACTGGGGCCCATTCTCCTAGGTACAACTCTAGGGATCCACTCGTACCTCCTCAAAAAGTACGACTGGACCCTCCTGGCACCCGCCCCAGTCCCACCTTCGAAACTATTTGGAGCCCTACAAACACACAATTGATGCAACCTAACCTCTTTCAAAAGGTTCCATACAAACACGTCCATGTTCCCTATCCCCCGACAAAACAACGGTTCCGACTCCGTTGTCTAAACGTTCCAACAATTCTTCCTCTTCTCCAGTGTGTAGGACAGCCGTGTGCAGAAGTAGAGATCCCTTCAGACCATTTTTGGTGATCGCTTGGCATCTCCTCTCTTGCCACCCGAGCTTCTCCGCTTCCGGAGGCTCCCAGTCCCTCGGCGGGAGTCACCATCCTCGGAGGTGGCGGGGACTCAGACCGCCATGGCCGATTGGCCCTTTGAGGCCAGCGAACACGTACGGCTTCTTCTTCCAAGGGTCTTCTACAGCATCTCCAAAAATCTGTACAAATTGAATCAAATTAATACACATGTTGTACTCCAGTCTCCAGTCTGAATATCTTCTACAGCAGGAAGCCACTCTTCCACAGCAATCAATTGATAAGGAAAACTAAACCCATACCCAGATCCGGTGCAATCATCCATACGTAAAAACCTCCTCCGGTGCGTCTGTTCACCTTTCCACCGACGTCCGAGCAGCACGGCATCCTTCGCCAGTTCCACCACTGCTCGGCCCTTCACGCGCACGGCCACATAGGCTGCTGCACCACACACCAGGCGTTTGGTCAACATGGTATCCTACCCGATGGTGACCCGCGCGATGGTGACCCGCGCGCCAGCACCGTCTCGTATTTTTCCGCGGGAGAGGGTGCGGAACCTGGAACCCTTAGACCAAATGAACAAGTGAGGTCTTGGTGAGGTGGTAGTTATATTCTTTGTTGAAACAATGCTCATGTGTTGGTGAATTGCCTCATTCCTTCCTTGCTCTGCGCTGGAGACAATACATAACATCTGCCCCACTCTGCACAAGCCCAGTCCTTCAAGGATTGCTCAGCTGTGAGCCCTTGCAGCCGGACTAGGACCTTTCCCTCCTGGAATGCAGTTTGGATATTGACCATCTTGACTTTTCGCATGATCACATTTTGCTCCGCGAAGAGAAATCCCAGGAAGCAAGGGATGAAAACGCCGTAGCAAAGAGCAGTGGTCCAGCCAATCCTGTCGACCTCAGATTGTGAGACCTTGATATGCTTTGACCATTTTCACAGAGACACATCGCATGACTATGGTTTGTGCAATAGTGCGAACCTCACGTGACGTTATGAATTGCAAGCTGCCAACTCCTTCCAACCTGCACGCGATCCCCTCCAAGAGAGGTTGAGTGACGAGTGACCTTATAGGACTCTACTGGGGTACCTATAGGATAGTCTAGTTCGGGTACCTCAACCTCTGTATTCCATGCCCATGGTTCCCAACATCTTCCAGCTGAGTTCCGAACCCAGGGCGCTTCGTTGCATCGCTGCTGTGGGAAGAGCGGTCGGTAGGAGAAGTCCTTCAAAGGCACACCTGGTTCAGCATCGTCGTCACGAGTCAACCGGGCGCGCCCGCGCTGGGTTGGCACAGTCCGCGATGTGATGAGTCATGCTACTCTGCTTGGAATGATATGAGCCCTAGGGTGTGAAAGAATTCGAAAGAAAGAAGCTTTCATGATGATGATGATGATGATGATGATGATGATGTCAATGTGGGGGTCCTGTATGTTTCTTCTTATGCAGCTGCTCAACACTCCTTTGCACGATTCAATTGTGGCAATATCCAACAGCGCTTTGGTATACCAATGTTTTGGTATAAATAGTTTATGGTTGCAGGCCTCTTGCTGGCCAACCATCGTGCAACAAAATGTATATAACTTCTTCATGAAGTATCATGAAGTTTATTTAATACCTAGCACTTCCTGTCCGAGTGCCCTGTCTGGAGACCTGTAAGTAGGGTAGGGTAGTCTATTGGACACCCAGACAGGATGGCCCTGGTATATTTACTTCATGAAAGCTTGCGCCTCAAACCCGCACCGCCCCACATGACTGACCCGCTGCCTGCACCATCGACTTCCTGGCAACCTAGCAGCTGCGCACTGCCCGAGGCACCGCCGATGAAGAGCACCGTGAGGATCTTGAGACCCACGCGGATGCCTCAAATAGATTAAAGTCTTTGGCCAATGGGAGATGAAAACATCAACTGGACAACCAGTGACATGGCAACTTTTTGTTTGGGCAAACATGATTCCAAATGGCAGGTCTTTTCATCTGAACTCGCCGGAAAGGACCTCCACAGCGGTTTGTCTTTTTTTCATCCAAGCAATTGATGGATCCACCATACAGTGTATACAAAAATACACAGAGAATCTTTCGCTATGTGGTTGACTAAGGGTCAACAGTCAACAGTGGTCAAAAAAATGATCTCATGTTCGCACCGACTCAGCCCTTCTTGCTGACTTAGTCACCCAATCCACGGGAGAAGATCTCCACACAGCTGCAAAGTAGCAGAATCAGCAGCGGAACCAGCGGTGTGGCAAGTGCAAAAAGACTTCGTACGGCGACTCCATCCTTGGATCAAAGGCACTTGCCTTGAGAACTCGAAAAAAGACTCTGACACATACAGTAACGACCTGATCCTCCATCATTACGTAGATGCAGGACTTTTCAATCCAGAATGATTCAACATGATTCAACATGTAACATCATGATGTCATGTAACATGATTCTTAAACATTTTCTGACCGAGAATCGTACACACATTCCAAAGCCAGGAAGTTTTGCACTTCCGCGCTGGTGAACTGAAAAACTTCCAGCAACGAAAGGACTGGGTCGCCTCGGAGGAGTGCAAACTGCAAGATTCGTAGGAATAGATTGGTGGAATGGGTGAAACAAAAAGCCGGACTTGATGTAGTCTGAGTTCGTGATTTGTTCGAACAAACCATGTCAAAAGAGGTGTGCAAGGGACCAATCCATGAGCCCCGCACAGGCGCAGGCAGGCAAATGAAAAAGGTGCCATCAACACCTCACCATGAGTGACCCAATTTCCATGCCAAAGCGCTCGAGGTTTGCTCGTCCGTCTCCGTTCCGGAAGAGACCGGGTGCCGTAAACGTCCAAGAACCGCCCACAGCTGCGTGAGCTGCAGAAGCGCCGCCAACTGCTCCACCAGGAGTTGCAGAAGGCACTTGTTGCTTGGGCTGAGCGATGGCACTCGATGCCTGGCCCGGGCCGGCGGCAGCAACCGGGGGTGCGTGGAACCACGAAGGTCTTCGGCACTGAAGGACAGCGACACCAGATTCCAAAACCGCTCTGGATACGCCTTCTACAACAACACACAGCCCAGCACCACATGGTGACAGCACAAGTAAGCACAAGATCATGCTTAAACTGAAGCAATCTAGATCAGTGGGACAGGGGACCATTAGATCGCTGGGACGCTTTTTTAGATCGGACCTCCCCACTGCACCCGTGGGGTCCGTTTCGTTCAGCACTGGATCCCGGTGAGTGGAGCACTAGCGAGTCCCGAAGCGACAAAACCGAGGACGAGGCCCCGGACGAGGACGTCACTGGAAGACGTGACGCAGCCAGCAGGTCGTTGGATGAGTCGAGATAAGAGCAACATATAATCAGTATAACTCATATTATCGTTCTGGCTAAATATCATGATCTCTCGATCTCTCTCTCTCTCTCTCTCTCTCTTGGGTGCAACAAACCCACCAGATGAACCGCGAATTGGGTCGCAAGATCCCAATGGCTTCCGACCATTCTAACGCGAAAACCGTCTCTGCTTGAAACCACTGGGTCGCTGAGCTGTTTTGTTCTTCAGTGCCTCATAAGCCATGCAGCGGCAGCCAGCAGGGTCAGGGCTATGGCGCTACCCAGCATGATGCACAGCCTCCTTAGAGAAAAGCGTCCACTTACACAACTCAAAACACGTTGCTTTATGATGTTCGATATATCATCTGTACTGCCCATGCTGATAGAAATGTCTGATTTTGGTCGTGGCGTCTCTCAAAATGGTGCTCTGCAACGCCGGCAGGACATGGCAGGAAGGTTGTTTGGAGTGCTGTAGAACTTCTGTTTGAGACGGCAACCCAAACTCGACTGACATGGTGTTTAGATATACCCTCTAGAAGTCCAGTTCGACTATATTTTGACCGACTGAAGGTTTCAGGAAATTCTTGGACTCGGGTCACCTAACTCGTCAGACCATTCTTTTTAGTCCAAAAGCACTGTCACAGTGCATCAAACGACAACGACTCCGTCGTTCACCGACCGTGGGAGGTGGGCACCCGATGAGGAAACTCGTCAAAGTGAACAAGAACTGCCCAAAACCCGACTGACATATTTTAGATTCATATTTAGATGATGTTTATTACATAGATGTCCAAAAACGACTGGAACGTTCCCATCTCAGCCAGGCGAAAGCCAATGGTATGTTGGATCCACTCACCATGCTCACCATGCATGTTCCCGAGCGTCTGCTGTGCAGAAATATCTTTGCATTCGAGGCAAAGGCCGCCGGTGGCGTGGAAATGCTCGGCGCAATCGACGCACAACGGACCACTACGTCCTTGGAGCTTGAAATGCATGTGTCATTTCTGCAAGCTAGAAAAGAGATACAAAAAAAGCAATATATGCATTCTACTATGCATTCTCACTATGAAGCGATCCTGCTCGCAGTGCATATGATTTCGACAACATGCATGTACATACACACAATGTATATATATATATCAATGTATACTGTGTTTAATGTTTTCCCGATTTGGAAACCACGAGTGGAATTGCACTATATTTGGTGGACAACCCCAAGTTAAATCCTTTGAGCTCAAGAGCAAACCACAGCACCCCCCAGTCCTTCTGCGCAGCTGGAATTTTGGCAATGCTTCGCATCCAAGCACTGGAAGATCTCCTCGGAGGGCACCTCCAACCGCAAAAAACCGTCCTCCAGTGGCGCATCTTTCGCCACGTGCCCTGATGTTTCGCACAGCAAGTTCAGTTCGTTGCAGGGAATGCAGAGCTGCTGGGAGATGAGAGCTTGATGGGCATCACATCTGCAACGACTTGTTCCTTCGGATGTTTCTTCTGGGCTGCCGAAAGGACAAACACACTGGCTCACAGCTGTGGATCCAGCCAATGACCTGCTGCCCTCGGGGCATTTGGTGCAGTGGGAGGAATTCCTCCCTGCGCTGTATGTGCCATTTGAGCACTGCTGGCAATCGGCGCCTTTTCCAAAGAAGCCGGGGCTGCATGAACACATCTGCTCCGGGAGGAACAGCTCCGGAGTAACACGCAGATTGGGATTGGAAAGGTCTTGGCACTCGAAGCCTTGAGAAGGTCTTGGAGTCCAAGCCTCTTGCGGACTTAGCTCCGTTTGCCAAAGGCCCATGACCTCGTCTCGATTCGCCAGCTCCGTGCGCGTGAGCCACAGCTCCATCCCTGACTTGATGACGCGGCGGAGGACCTCTGCGCTGACTCGCAGTGGATGGGCATTGTGGCTCAGATCCAAGCGGATTTTGGGCAGCCATGAGTCAGCACTCACGGCATCCATTCGGTTGTGGGAGAGGTCTAAGACCTGCAAAGACCCGCTTAAAGTCCGGCCGAACGGCCATCCCTTCAGACTGGGCACAGACCCGTGGAGGGCGCAGTTGGCTGCGAGAAGGCGGGTGATGCGCGTGAACTTCAAAGGCTCAAGTAGCTCCTGCGTGGTGAGATTCAGCTGGCTGCCACTGACCTGGCACTCTGCAGTTGCAGAAATCGCAGCATGGAAACATCACATTCAGCTAGCTCAAGAAACTTGAGCGGTGAGGTTTAGTGACAAACTATGTGTCGACTTCCAACCAAACCAGTGAGCCACTGCTTGCGAGCCCGCTAAAAAGGGTAACATGTTGCACATCTTGGTACCCTGCACATTGGGCACCGGATGAGCGTTGAAGCTTGGGAGGTGACCCAATCCAGGGGCCCGGAACCCGGTCTGACCGGCTTTGTGAATGTCAATCCTGAATTTCTTCTGTAAGAACATGTAAGAACTGAGCTGCTGGCATTCAATGTCTGCAAAGCAGCCCAACCTATGGAGGCAAACATGAGCAAAGGATTCCCAATGCCCACTTTGGTGTCCTCAGTGGTAACATGAAACAGCTCCAAAACGATCCTTGCACACTGACATCGATCGATCGCTAAGGCCGGAACGGCCACGTTCAGATCTCGGAGCTTCTGGCAGTAGTCCTTCTTGCAGCTTCCTTCCAGGAATCCAGACACCAACGTCCCGGAGAGGTCGGCGAGCTCCAATTTGGCCAGGTACTGCAGCGCTGCGACGTCGCCCTGCACAGGCAATTGGGCCAGGCGAAGGTCTTGGAGCTTGGCCAGGTCACGGAGAGCCGCAAGGTTCCCTGAGACGTTGGTCCGGGAGAGGTCGAGGCGGAACCGGAGCTGGGTGAGGTTCTGAAGGGAGGAGAGGTCCCCTGAGACCTGGGTGTGGGAGAGGTCCAGGCGCCACAGGCTGGTGTTCTGGAGGGAAGAGATGTCTCCAGAGACCTCTGTCTGGGAGAGGTGAAGGCCCATGAGGTGGGTCAGGTTCCGGAGAAAGAGGATGTCTCCAGACACCTGAGTGTGGGAGAGGTCAAGCCACCTGAGGCTGGTCAGGTGTTGGAGGGAGGAGAGGTCTCCGGAGACCTGGGTGTGGGGGAGGAGAAGGGCCTCGAGGCTGGTCATGTTCACAAAAGAGGCCACATTGCCGGAGGCCTCTCTGCTCTCAATCCTCCGCACACTGCAACCATCGATGCACTCGATGCCCGTCCATTCGCAGGGGTTTCCTTCTCCGGTGAGGCCCACTCCACGCAGCCCTTCCCGCAGGCGCTCACGTCGCTCTCCTTCGCACGTCGCCTTTTCAGAGGCGAAGAGGGGCACCGAAAGGAGTGATCGCCAGGAAACCAGTCCATTCAATCAGCGACTTCTTAAGTTCAGGACTTACATCAATCTTCGTTTAACGCTAAAAAAATCGATACGAGGATGGGTGCACCAAAAGAGTTACAAGAACATGGAACAACCCTCTCGATGAAACAACCAAGTTAAGTGAAAGGACATTATGATATACCCTACCCAAACGCTCATGAAACTGGAATACATGCCGAGAAACGGCCAGGGGTGGTGTTGCCAGGGCGGTCTTTCTGGGCTATATACCCACTCTCACATGCATCTAGCACTAGGTGATTTCCCGCGCATGTATGCTTGCATCCAAAGCTGACTGATTTTCTGGAACCACAAGAGCGATGATCGAGCAACACGTATACTGAGGTCGACGCAACGGATGATAACAATGAAGACCCTAGAAGTCCAGTTCGACCACATTTTGACCGACTAAGGAAATTCCTGGACTCGGGTCACCTAGTCAGACCATTCTTTTATAGTATTGACTCCCAGGGAAGATGTCTCAGTTTTTGAGCCACATCCCGGCCTCCTTACCCTTCTCCAGCAGAAGCGATCGGTGCCCAATTTCCTTGGTGCATCTTCACATCTATAGTCTAGTGAGAGGCGTCGAAGCTAATGACATTCACATGAGATCGCTCCTCCAAAACCCAAAATGTGGTTGGTTATTTCTGCCGCAAACCAACTGGTGTGTGTGTGTCCACATCTGTGCCTAAGGTTTTGAGTCACAAAGGACGCTACTAGGGGCCCCTGGTTTCGCTAGTAAGGGCTCCTGGTATCGCTATCAGCGTGCAGTTCAATTTTTCAACACGTTCACTAACCAGCAGGGGGGCGTAGCGTGTTCAGATGACTACGCCCAACGAAGCTGGTCTGAACACGGGATACCGGGATTGGCCATCCTGGCGTGCCTGCTAATTTTTAACTCCAAGGCAGCGTTCAGTCGTAGGCAATCCAAGAAAGAAAAAATTGTTAAACATCTTCAACTCGGCGGACCTCTTCACCTTTCCGTTCGGCATTTTGCTGTTACATCAAGTCAAGTGCTAATGAGTGTAAAGTGAGACTTCATTCTGATCCTAGCTCTTGTGAGCAACAATCTAAGTGTGTTTTCGCCACAGAGTCCCACTGAGGGCTGTGGTGCGATCCCCATCGAGGGGCGCAGCATGTGCATAGACCCAGATCCTGGGGGATCCTTTCCGATTCTTCCGTTTTTACTTTGGGACTTCGTTCTGCAACCCCCTTGATTGCCTGTTATGCACGATACCACTGATACTATGCCGGAGGGCTCACTGAGACTTAAACTCCAGTCAGGTTTTGATGAGAAGTGTGAAACGTGTCTCAACACTTTGTACATAATTACATAATGGTTGTTTAAACGTACTTCGTTTTTAGACTTCACAGGCCAGGCTTTTCACTTGTGAGCGACTTCCAGTTGCATGTACTTGTCGTTTTCTTGGGTTCTTTCTCTCTTGCTGTTGCTTTTCGTTTCTTGAGGCCTTTCTTTAGGTTCCAGGTGTTTTTCAGAAATGGGTCCGCAGTCCCCATAATCGGCTTAAATGTCAATGATGACTGCCTTCGGGCCACCCCTCCCTGCCCCAGGCCTCCGTTGCTATCCCACCCGCTATTTAGGGTTATAGAAGGAAATCGCACTCAACACACTTGTGTGTTGGTGCCTTTCCTTCTATTTCTCCTGTCCTACCTCTAGCTACCCGGGCGGTATAAGACCAAAGTCCCGCTCGCTAACTTCTGCGCGTATTGTAACTAGTGGGCCTCGTAACTACACCTATCTTTCTTTCTTGCCCTCTTAGTCTGCATTTTGTTTTGTTTTCTATGTTTGTCTTTCTAAGGCTTTTTAGGTGGCTAGTAATTTTTCCGCAGCGCCAATATTGGCGCTATGTGTACAAAGTTGTGTACAAACAGCGCAGCGATTACGGCCTTGTGTTTGTGTATGTATCCATACATGTGCTTAAGGCTTTGCGTCACAAACGACGCTACTAGGGGCTTCTGGCATCGCTACTAGGAGCAAGGACGGTACTACTAGGGGCCTCTGGCCGTTCTACGGGGAGTAAGGACGCTACTAGGGGCTCCTGGCCTCGCTACTAGTTTGCAAGCAGGGGAGAGCGCGCCGAGTACGGCTTCGTGTGTGCGTCCACACCTGTGCGTAAGGTTTTGAGTCACCAAGGACGCTACTAGGGGCCCCTGGTTTTGCTACTAAGGGCTCCTGGTATCGCTATCAGCGTGCAGTTCAATTTTTCAACACGTTCACTAACCAGCAGGGGGGCGTAGCGTGTTCAGATGACTACGCCCAACGAAGCTAGTCTGAACACGGGATACCGGGATTGGCCATCCTGGCGTACCTGCTAATTTTTAACTCCAGGGCAGCGTTCAGTCGTAGGCAATCCAAGAAAGAAAAAATTGTTAAACATCTTCAACTCGGCGGACCTCTTCACCTTTCCGTTCGGCATTTTGCTGTTACATCAAGTCAAGTGCTAATGAGTGTAAAATGAGACTTCATTCTGATCCTAGCTCTTGTGAGCAACAATCTAAGTGTGTGTTCATAACCAAGTTCGACCTGTACCCAGTTTTGGACCTATGCCTATGCCATATACCTGAGGCTTCTTCAGCTTGGCAATCTGACTTATTGCAGACAGTATTGCAGACTTAACTGAACTCCAAGCTTCGTCAACAGATGGCCGAACAGCCACACAGAGCCATGGAAGTGCAAATACGCAAGCTATTGGGCTTATGCCCATGAAATTTACAAAACACAACGCATTCTTGAGCCCATGTTTGGGCTGCCAAACCGCGAAAAAAACAAGATCTTGAGGGATTCCGCGCATTGAACGTACGGAACTCTTGGGATCCAATTCTTTGAGGCCATGTTTTGCATATATTGAACTTATATAGCATATACTAAACTTGAGAATATCTACACAAATTTCCAGGGTCTCCCTGGACTCATACTTCGGGATCGCGCATGACCGGTACCTCCAGCTTGCCCAGAGCGGCCGTTGGTTCCTGCCTCCTGCGAAGTTGACGGACATTTCGAAGTCGTTCGGAGTCGTTCGTCTCTGAATTTCGCCCAAATCTCCCAATCATTCCGATGTTCGCCAACGGCACAAAGGTTCATAGATGGTTTGAAGTTTGAAGCTGATTTCCACATAATTCCACGAAACATCACACCTCTCTTCCGGGTCTTCTCTTGACCGGTCCCTCTGGCTTGCGAGGCCAAGAGCGGTTGGGTTTCGTATAGAGTGCCAAGTGGAAGAAACTTCTCAGGTTTTTCATCTCTGATCGTCGGCCACATGTTCATTATGGGCACAAAAGGTTCATAAATCCATATAAATCCCTACAAGTCACAGACCTCATTTTACTGGAGATGGTCATACAACAACCGATACTTAAGGAGGTAAAAGACACGGGTTTTACTTGGTCAAACTGGACTTGTGCTTGAAAGAAAAGTCGACATGATTTGGACATCCTTCGATAGATCTATACGCATGATGAGCACTGAGTATACCTGATGAACACAAAACTGAGTACGAAAACTCTTTTGACCCAGGCACCTCGGTCCCGCCGTGTCGGTCCGAGTACCTGTCGATCCCAGGGCCGGCCTCTTCGGTGCCGAGTCTCGAAGCGGCAACCAAAAGGCATAGAACTACACTCCGACTCACTAACATGGAAGTGGAAAATGGCCTCTTGGAAGACTACTTTCCTCTACAAACAGTGGGTTTTTTCTAACATGGAAGTGGAACCCACCGAACCCATGGCGACTGTGCGACCTCAGGGCCCCGTAGTGCGTGTCGTCACCCGGCATTGGGCTTGTACAGACCCCCGGTCCATCGGACTTGCCTCTGTCCATATAGTTCCACCATGGTCAGCTAGCGGTCACAGACCTCGGAGAGCTTGAAAGTTCCATCTCTTCCCTAGAAAAAGCCATGTTTCATCCAGGAGCCTACAAATTGTTGTAGTGTTTTGCTTCTCTAGGTAGTTCCACCATCTGAAAAGAAAACACGGCAGAACCGAGAAAACACCGCTGTAAAGCGCACATGTCAACCTGTCCGTCATGACCTCTTTTTTGAGGGAAGGGCGCATGGCAACCTGACCATGAAACTCATCCCATGTCTTTCAGGCAAGCCGCCGGGCTCGATGAGTCTGCAGCCATTGCAATCTCAGCTTCACTCACCTGGCAAAGAAGTCATACCGTTTTACCCAGGTTACCCTAGCCCCGTTTCTCTTGGGCATCACAATCACAATGCCTCCTAATTCCGGAGCTAAAATTGAGACTGCGTGGAAGCGTCCTTCCATGCGTCCTTCCAAGAAGTCCATCAACGCTACAGTCAATCTTCAAAAATATTCAAAAAAAACCAGCTGGCCCTCCTTGGGCCCTCCCAAGGGTCTCCTTAATCTGGAAGCTTTCAGTGCCACCAGTCCAACCGTCCGAAATAGAAACCTGGGAATGACCAGAAATGATGGTTTCAAATGGTAAAGAAAACCATGAGAGACATTGAATGTATAACAAATTCAGAAAAATAGGTCTTTTCCCAGGAAAAAAAATCAGGAAAAAAGAAGTCTTTTCCCATACCGAACTTCGAGCGATTTCTCTCCCCATCCGAACGAACCTTCATCCCTGGTGTCGCCGCCTAGGCGTTGACCCGGACGGTGGAGAGTGGAGCATGGGACTCTGCTTTTGCCTGCTCCTATCTCCTGCTTTTAAACGCTTTTACTTTTGATCAATAAAGAGTGCAATGTCCTAAAGCCATGCGCGAAACAATATCAAACAATGTCAAACAACGAAACGCGAGTTCTGCTCATCTAATCGATTCATTTCCCTCTGGGCCACAGATTCTGTCACACCGCGCACCGCTCACCGCGCAATACGCCGCCCTTGTTCTTCACACGGCGACAGTTCCAAGTCCGTCCTGAGGCAGCCGGCGTTGGACATCTTTCTGGGTAGTCAGTAGTTGCTTTTTTGCCCGAAAGCATTGCGAAGGCCACTCGTCGTCGAGTTAGGCGCTTCAGAACGGTAAACCGTTTGATGTACCCGTTGATACCCATTGAATTCAGTGTGTCGAACGAGGGACGAGTCGGGTCTTCGGGACGGATCCCGTCGCTCACTTCGATGGATCCGATGGAGAAGACTCACCGGTGTGGACCGGCGGCAGGTCGAGGTGCCGGGTCTGGCAGTCCCATGGAGTCTATGGGTATGCGAAATCAACATACAGAATCAACCAGTTCCAACATCGACTCCCAAAGAAATCCACCGACTCCCATCACTGCCTCATGGGCCATCTAAGCACATTGTTCGGCACTGACTTCCACGGGACCCTCGTGGATCTTAGCCTCCAACTCCTGGGAGTTGTTGACATCTTTCTCATTCAAAAGTGGGAGTTAAGGTATCAGACATTCAGAGCTGGATCCAGTAGAAGTGGCTGGTATAGGGGAGGCCCAAGGCCCAGCCCGAGGCGCGTTTCAGAACCAACCCATCGGGAAGCTGGATCCAATTGAAGCAAATAGAAGGACCAGAAAAGGGAGGGTTCAACCCATCGTAAGCGCCAAGTATGGCAGCCAGTAATGCCTTTGATGCTTGTAAATCTATGTGATATGGTACTTCGATGGAGGCACTTCTGATGTGCTTGGTGTCCTGTTCTTAAACTGCTGAAATGGTGGAGTTCATCGAAGTGTGAGTGTGAGTGACATGTCTATGCTTGCTTGCAAAACTGCTCAGTGAGCAACAGTGCCCATGATATCCCATGATGAGTGGCTCGTTTTAGGACAACAACCAACAAGAATGAGCGTGTACTCATCTCAAAGGGCCTAAAACCAATCACTTGAGACCTGTAGAATTAGCTGAATCTCAACTACATTACTGCCTCTGAATCACTCAATATCACTCAATGGTCAACCCTTAATGGTCAACACTTTACAAACGACTTGAATCCCTATCGGACGCGACGAACTTAGCTCCAGGCGCTCCTGGCAGTATACTACTAGGAACAAGGTTCGCTACTAGTAACAAAGGGCATCACTACGAACGGAGCAAGAATCTGAATCAGAATGCTCCACGCCCCTCTGGTCACCGCTGTGCCGGCCGGTCCTGCTGCAACCTGAGCGCCAACATCTCGGGCGAGTCCGGGTGTCGCAGCTGCACCAGCAACAGACCGAAGGGAACGGCCAGCGCCAGGCGTGCCAAAGCCACGTGGTGCCGAAATCCCACCGCCGCCACAGCTAAGCCTCGGGATGAGAGGGAGCAAACGTACCAGTCTTAAGAGTCAGCTGTTCCCGAAAGAGAGAGAGAGAGAGAGTTGAAGAATGGTGCACCCGCAGCAGCACGCTTGAAAGTGCCAATGATAGCCTGGATGAAGATTGGATCTATGTGGATCTCCTAGATGAACTCCAACATGTCAACACGTGTCGCACCTCTTGGCGTCTACGTTGCCTCTACGGCCGACATGACCCCTTGGCGTCGACCCTACAGGCCGACGCTTCCCTTCGATTCTGAAACTCAGCAGGTGGGCTGAAAAAAGAACGGTTCAAAAATCATTATCCCATAGGTTCAAATCACAGCAATTCTACGCGTGTTTATTTTGTTCAACTCAGGTGAGATGTGCAGCGGACAAGGCACAGGCGAAGCATGCGGTCTGCAGGACATTCAACTGCGGCTGCACGAAGGGCCGAGTGAGGCCAATGACCAGCGCCATGCCCAGGGTGATGGCCACGGAAAGCCACAGATTGTTCACAGCGACCACCTTAGCTGTGAAGATCATGAGATGCGAAAAGACTTTATAACACATTCATAGTTGCGGTTGCTCAGTTGGGTAAACCGGTATCCAGGATCCCTGCAAGTGATATGGAACAGGATTTGGAGTTGATATGAAAGCCTGATTTATATACCAACATCATCCAACGGGTCACCAATGCACTGCACTACGACTGGGGAGAACCCTCCGGAAGGTGACCCCAAGGTCTTGAGCTTTGACATCTTTGTTTGAACGGAACCATATGGCATTTGTCTTCCAATCACCTGGGCCTTGGATCGCACGCGCTCTCTGACATGTTGAACTTCAACCTCAAACCAACCACCTCTGATCGTGCCAAGGAGCAGAGACCAGGGCAGCTGCCATCACCTTGATGCAAACTTCCATCCAAACATTTTCGCACTTCGCCTCAGTGATGCAGCTGCACCAGATGGGATTCCCTGGAGCTGTATTCGGCTCCCTCGTGCTCCCTTGGGGTAGATAAACATGTGAACAATTGTGAACACCATGTACCAGCTGCTGGCGGGCGGGCTAGGGGTGACCTGGCTGGAGTTGTCCCTACACTGCTGAAAAAGGTCACCAAACAGGGCACACAGACAGGAAGCGTGGTTGGTAGAAACACGTGTCATGTTTTGGTTGGTAGAAACATGTAAGCGCACCAGACAGAAAGCGATGCCCCCTTGTCACAAATCCATGAAGGAAGGACACCCCTCACGACAACGGCTTCTTGCATGCAGCACTGGAGTGCAAGGCAGTGGCATACTTGCAGAAGAGCTGCTTCGCACCCAGCATCACTCCTTAAGTGAAAGCATCTGACCCTGACGAGCAAACGCACCAAAAAACATCTCGCAGAACCCGAAACGTGTCGCCGGAGTCGCCGATCTTCCGAAATGTTCTATCAAACTTCCGATGAAATCGTGAGGAAGCCGACACTTCGCATGCGAAATGATACGATCCAATAGTGTGGAAACCATGCTTGCTTTGATTCAGTGCTAAACTCAAATCCACTTACTATCTATGTGGGGGCCCTATCTCGCTAGACTATAGGAGGTCATGTTACAGTATCTCCGGATGAAGCCCCAGGCACTATCTTCCTTCTGCTCCAGAATGCTTCGCTCCATGAGCATCTGCGCCATGAAGTGCCACTGCAAGGCCTCCAGTTCCTCCGTGTCAGAACCGAAGACCAAGCTCTCGACCTGATCGTGACCAACTCCCCGGTCCATTCTCCCACAAACATGGGCCAAACAAAGCTCAGAATCCCCAGGGCTCCTGGCCCACCTCCGTCT